CACGCACGCACGCACGCACGCACGCACGCACGCACGCACGCACGCACGCACGCACGCACGCACCCACCCACCCACCCACCCACCCACCCACCCACCCACCCACCCACCCACCCACCCACCCACACACCCACCCACCCTTTTTTCATCTATCCATACTTCCGTCAATCCAACCTGCCTACACTAACCGACCCACCCACATAATCATCGAAGCTTTGTTCAAGAGGTTTAGGCTTTCGGGATTCAGGGTTCAGTTAGTTGGCAGGTTCGGGGTTCTTCAAGTAAGGCACAGTTCACGGTTCAGTGGTGTAGGGTTGTTCCCAAGCTATCTAAAGCTTTCTTGATCGGTGAGGGATTTAGGGTTTGGGTGGTTTTGGGCCGTTGGGTTGGAGGTAAAACTTCTGAGGTGCAGCAGGCATTCCCCAGAGGGCAGCAGACAAAGTCGATGTGCTGCATGTGCACAGCAACTCCAAGTTCGAAAGTCCCAGTTCAGAAGGGGCAAGGTGCCCTGTCGCTATCAATGCCATCTAGGAACGGTTGGGTCAACAAAGATCTCACGCACTTTACTGCTACAGCCCACATAGTCCTACCTTGCCTGGTCACGCTGAACATCTCTGGAGCGACGTGCCACGAAGTTTGGCAATGGGTTCGGGGCAGCCTCGCACGTGAAACCCTGAGGCATAGCTGCCCTTTCGCCGTGTCCGGCGGCGGGCGTCACAGGAATTTGCGTCGGTTAGCAGCCGAAATCTCAGTCATCTTCAGGCCTAACATCTCTTTATCCCTTTAGTTCATAGGGTCCAAAAAGTTAAGCGGTTCATGGTTTCCAGGGTTCAAGAGTTTCAGGTTTAGGGATTGCTTGATTGGGGTTTCAGTTTCTCGGAGTTTGACATGTAAGATTCGGTCGCTGATCACTGAAACTGCCGCTTGGAAGGAGGATTTTCAGGAATGACCAGGTTGAACAAAAACATCTGTCAAAGTCGCAGTCAGTGGCAGCCCATGTTAAAATAATTTTTGCCACCGTCCCCACACTGCCCTCCCGCAAACCGTAGATGATTGTCCAGGGATCCGCCAGGCCCTGTTTTTTTCACCATCCCCAGCCCAACATCCAAGCAGACATGACTCAGGGAAAGGTAGGCTCCGACACGGAAATATCTCAGCTGAGGGCTTCAGAGCCACAAACCGTGAAGACCAAGAGCCCAGCTCAGGCCCGCGGCCCCAGGACCGCAAAGTGTAAACCGTATGACACCGCAATCTCGACCCCCACCCTATACAAGCCCTACACAAGGCTGCAAAGCCTTCTTGAACCCTGTTAAACTCTCCTCCAGAGTGCAAGCATTCATACCAGCAAGCACTGTTACAAAACCCTAAACCTTACATCCTAAACCCGACGAGAAAACCTCAGCTGTTTCTCAGGTGGTGGAGGGAAGCGGGAGCCTTGGTTTCTTTGCCTCGGGCGTTTTGGGTTTAGGGGTCCAGGGTTAGCGGTTTAGGGTTTCTGGGTTTCGAGCTTAGGGTTGATTTAGGGTTCAGGGTTGGCGATTCAGGGTAGGGCTTTCAGGGGTTTCGAGTTTAAAGGGTTCAAGGCCCAAGGAGGCGACCGCACGGTCCATGCGCAGTGAGGTGTGGCATTCGGCTTTCAATGGGGTTGAACGGTTGGAAGTAGTTACAATTAAAATTTACCTGCAGTTTTTATTGTTTCCTCTTGAAATCCGAAATCAACACCACTCATCAGCCCACCTCAGACGGTCGAGTGGAAAAGTTTGCCCGAGGGTTCCCATCGTTGGGAACTACGGAGATGAAGAATTGACATAAGCCCCTAAGTCCCAGAGTGATTTTGAACCCTAAATCCTACAGCAAACCGAATAAGCCCTAAATCTTAAACGTTATAAAACCCAACCCCCCAAAAAGTAATCAGAAACTCCAGTTTTCATAGCGCTAGTCATCCCCAAACCCCAAGCCGTGAAGTTGGGAGGTGCCCAAAGCCCTAAACGATCCTGAACTCCCAATATGTGTATACATATATATATATATACATACATATGTATATATATATATATATATATATATTTTTATTTATTTACTTATTTACATTCAGTCCGTTAACCAAACCGCTATATACAGTCAGTAACACCGAAACCCCAACCCTTGTATTCTATAACGTTAATAACTGCTAAGCCCCAAATGTTGAAGTCCAAGGTGCCATCAGCAGCGCCGGGAGCACCACGCTGATCCCAGCTGCGGTCGAGCAGCGCGGGCCCTGAGATCGGGTTTTTGCGGCTTGGGACGGGTGTTTTTTCTTCTGCAGTGTAGGGCTTTTGGGGTTTTGGTGAACTGGGGTTGAAGACTTCGGGTTTAGGACATGAGCAGTTTGTGGAGAATGGATAGGCATTTAGACTGCATTCGGCTCCATGCCCTGCTTTTGTCGTTCGGGTTCCTTACCTGTTGTCACTTGTGTCCTTCTTCGTCCGCTCTTTCTGTCGAGACAAATGCTTGCGGCGATGTCCTTGGTGATTACCCTTGTTCGTTGCATCCTTCGCTGTCGTCGCCGTCGCCGTCGCCTTGTTGCCAATCTACAGCAACGGGTTTTCCGCGTGTCCCAGCTCGTGTTGCAAGCCGTGCACCGTGCATGTACCAAAGCCGGCCTGCATTTACGAGCAAATCTTGTGTTTTGTACCCGTTTCGGGTTACTACTTATTAGTATCTAACCTAACTCGTAAAATCCGTATAAACCCGTATACCCCCTAGTAGAACCCTTATGGAACACTTGCAAACCCTCATAGAACCCTAGTTCTATTGCAAAGGTCTGTATCTGGCAACCCTCCGGACGCCATTTTCCTAGTCGTATGCTGCCGAAGTTAACCTCTTTTAGGCTAGGGCTGGGGGATGCGGTGGATCAGGCTTGATGGTCTCGTTCTGATTCATTTATAGGTCTCGTTCTAGTTCATTTATATGGCATCTTCCTTTCATCATCTAGGGGTTCTTCTCAATTGGGAGTCCCTTTCCGGGATTGTCATTGCAATTAAGATACTGTTGAGGGGAACACCACGGAAGGGAAGCCTTATGAAGTTCATATAAGCCTTGATGAGGGCCTCTACTACAGAACCATCAACTCCGTTTGTTAGTGCCGAGACTGCCGAGCCGCTAGGATGTGGACATCTCTCGGCCTAGCACCGGTCGGCCAGGGGCTGCTGCGGGCCGAGATTCGACTCTGGATTTTCCTGGGTTGAAAGGCAGTGCATTGAGGATTGGGGTTTGTCTAGCTGTTTCTCCGGTTTAGACTTAGAGTTTTGCTGTTAATCATGTCATTGGCTGCTTTGGGGTGCGGGCTGTAGGTATTTTCGAGTTTAGGGTTTGAGGGTTTCAGGTGTTGGCGATTTGTTTTGGTTGCTTGAGCTGTTGTGTTGTTGTAGAGTTGACTAGAGTTTCGCGTTTTGCTGTGTTAGGTGCCGCTGTTGGTGGATTGGCCTTTGATTTTGCAGGCTGAGCCCTTCGCAGCAGAAAGAGCCCTGACAGTCATGTGTCGTTCCGTTGTTCAGGCCACAGATGAAGGCTCCTTGGGGGATGAATGAGAAGTTTTGCATTTTGTTGTTTTTCGGTGCGATGATTTAGGCAAATTTAGGCCCTTTAGGCGCTGGTGTCCTTGTGTCGTCCCATACACCAGCGTCCCACTTCCTGCAGTCTGGTGGCCCAACGGCATCTGCGTGGGTTTACCAATGAAGGGCTACCTATGATGTAATTAGGTCTAAAGAAGTCGTGTTGCAAGCTCTTTGCAGTGTGGTAGTATTTTGATATGTTATGTGTTGTTCTCCTGAACTGCAAGATCGGGGCCTGAATACATAATAATATTCCTACGGGTTCCTTAATGCGCCTAGCACGTAATACCCCAAAGCCCTATTCCGTTTAAGGCCGTTAGTTTAGTCAAACAGTTTCCGGGGCTCCCGCAGCAGGTTGAGTTGTTGTTCCCGTGAGCTTGCAACTTCCAAGCCCAGTCTTCGTGGCCACAAGACCACAAGAACTCGCAAAAACACAAAATGAGATGATGCCATAACCTCATGTAGTGCAAGAGGTTGTACTATACTATACTGGACTGGACTAGACTTGACTAGAGCATGTAATGCAACGGCCCGATCTCCGCAGCCTGTGCTCTAAACCCGCTGCTTCCAGGCGCCCGAAGAACTCGAACCCCCAAGCCTAGCAGCCTACATCTTGCCCAGGCGGAAGGTAACCGAAATCTACTTGAAGGGCGTCCGGAAGGCTTGTTGCCGGCTTCGGAGCCTCAGGAAGAATCAAGGGCTCTCGGCATCTTTCCACGTAAGCATTGTGGCGAGTTCAATCTTGTTATTCGAAGACGACACAATGGTCTAAAGGCACACAAATGCATTTGCGAGGCTCTGGCTCTGGAGCCCTATATCCCCAAGGCACTGGCATGTTCGTTGGAGGATTGAGACTCATGCGGGGCGCCATGGGGAGGCTGTCGGTTATGTTACGTTGTGCTTTGCAGGGATTGCAACTGATCGCAGAGTGGTGTTGCTGAACCAGAGGCTCCCCAACCCACGAGTAGTGGAATGTGCAACATGTGAAATCATGAATCCTGTGTAAACCCCGCTTGTCCAAAGAAACCCCTCGCGGGAACGCGCACCTGCCTGCAGCCTCATGTCCTTCGCAACTAAATGAGCATTTGTAACGTTGAAAGTCGTGGTGTCTTTAAAGCTGATGCTGATAAGATGCATGCTACAATCGTCAATGTTTCCATCACATATTTTCTCAAAGCCTAAAGTGCCAAAGCTCCAATTCCGCAGTCCTATCACAGCTTACTGGGGTTGCTATCAGCCTACACTGTCATGACAATCACCACCCCACCATCACCATCATCACCATCCTCATCATCATCACCATCATCACCATCATCATCGTCATCATCACCATCACCACCATCACCACCACCACCACCATCACCACCACCACCACTACCATCATCATCGTCATCAGCATCACCACCATCACCACCATCACCATCACCACCACCACGACCACCACCATCATCATCATCATCATCATCATCATCGCAATCCTCAGCACCATCATGGCCATCATCATATTCCTCGTCGCAATCCTCAGCATCATGGCCATCGTCATCATCATCCCAATCCTCAGAATCAGGATCATTGCAACCACAGCAGGAGCAGGAAAAGCAGCCAGAGACGCTGTCATGGTCATAGTAAGATTGGCGGTGTACCTACCCTAGCGTGAGCAGCAAAGATGAACAGCATGACAAGCAAAGATAAGGCATCACACACTACATTATATGGGTGTTTAACACCGCGGGCTCCCTCCGCCCACCCAGCTCACGCAGGAGCGACTGTTGATGGTCCCGAGATCCTAACCCTAGACCAGTCCGAGCTATAAGCCGTTCAAGGTGCTTCCACTCCGCTGCTCGGCTCTGCGACGTCTTGCCTCGGCGCAGGGAGCTTGGTATTTGTGTGACTTTCTGAGTATATGTATGTATGCATGATTGTCGTGCATATGTATATATATATATATATACACACCAATATTAAATTATGCAATCACAATATCCACATAGTCTATATATACACACGTACCTACCTACCCCGACCGACCCTACCCCACCTACCTACCTACCCACCTGCCTACCTACCTCCCCCTACCTACCTACCTACCTACCTACCTACCTACCTACCTACCTACCTACCTACCTAGATCGGTGTATGTATGCACGTGAATATGCATGTCTATATACATGTGCAGCTGACTTGATGTTGATGTTGCTTGTGCATATTCGGGATGAGGCTGCGGTATTCTAGTCTAGGTCTAGGTGTTGGCGCTATGGTTTTGTGATTTCAGATCAAGATCAATCAGCAGTTGCTCAGATCTGGACAGGGTCTTCTTGTTTTCAGGAGTCTGCATGCTGCAGAAACCCTAAATGCTAAACCCTAAATCCTAAACCCTACACCCAAAGTCCTAAACCCTCGACTCGAAAGCTGGTATAGCTGTACCACTGTTGTGCGAACCCGTAGCCCAAGCCCTGCGATCCAGAACCCCGAGGCGCCAGAAGCCCTGCCCAGGAGGCCGCTAAGGGTTCGTACGAACTCCTTAGGATACCTCATCAGTACAGTATACATAGTACAGCACAGTATAGCATAGTCTAGTATAGTCTAGTATGGTACAGTATAATACAGAATACTATAGTATAGTCTAGCATAGTAGATGATCACCCTGCTCTAGTTACTAGTTGTTAAGGCCTCTATTTCATGCGCTACAAACCAAGCTCTGAGCCTAAACCCTAAACCCTATAATTCCCTAAACCTTAAATGTCTGGCCCGAACCTGCCATCTACAAACCGTGCCGGACCCGAGAACTGACAGGTGAACCTGGGCCCCTTAAGCCTTCAACCTGAAACATAAAGTATAGAATAGTATAGTGTAGTCATTAGTATAGAATAGTACAGTATAGTATGGTATAGCATAGTATGATATAGTATAGTATGGTATGGTATAGTATAGTATAGTAATTACAGTATAGTATAGTAGTAAAGTAGTATAATAGCCCTTGAGCCTTCAACCTGAACCCCCAAAAACCGCCAAAGTGTCCCCCAAGGTGTGCAGTTTTCGCCTCGCTTTGGCTTCTCATGGCGGCTGCCAGCACAGACCTTCTCGGCGCCATGGCGGCCGGTAAGGACGGGCCTTTGGTGATCTCCGTTAAGCCTTGATAAGCCTTGATACATATCATTGCGACAATCATATGAGCAGTTTTTGGGCATTCGAAGGCAGGGCCTCGGGCTTCGCTGAAGTGGAGAATCTTCGGAAAGGAGTGCGACGGGTGGTGCTTAGTTGGCTCAGTAGAGTAGTGGAGAAGATGAGGCGTCGAGGCCCTGTGCCGCCGAAAAAAGACCTTAGAGATCCGTGGCACAGGACGTGGCAATTGCCCGCGCTGCTGCAGCGGTGCGGGCCCGAGTTCTCGGGTCCGAGGATTTAGGGGTGTGTGAGGGTCTTAGAGAGGCCTGGAATGTCGGGTAGACGGAGTGGTCTGCTGTTCAGGTTGAGCCCGGAAACTCTTGCCATCACTTTCGCCTGGAAGAACAGAGCGCTCGAATCTAGCTGTAGTTCCCTTCCCGACTGGTGACCCTCAGTTTGCCACCGGAATAGAAACGCATCGTTCAAGCGGCTGCTTCTCGAAGCCGAAGCACCGCTGGTATATCGTGGATATGTGTGGTTCTCTAAATTAGGGTCCAATGCTTAGGGCCCCCAAAATAGTACGGCACCCTTGTAGAAAGGACCTTAAATCAAAAGCGACCCTAATTGAGAGAACTATGCATATGGTCTCTATGGAGATTTGCCGGAGCTTGGAGCTCCGAAGCGCTTCTCCCACCATAACGAGGATGCTGATAGGTGCGATACACCAAACCCTAGCTCAAGCATTCGTGATTGATACAGGGGCCTTATAATAATTACCTACACAATTTTGGGGTTCCTTATTTTATAATTGTAGCATTATGGGTCCCCAAACCCTAATTATTCTAATTCTGAAGGCGCCTACATTAGGCCCTTGCAATCCGGACTTGTACCTCCGCATCTCCGGAAGATTGAATCTGAATCCTAGATCCCCAGAGAACCCAATACCCCTTAATTAAGGATTAAGGATTATACTTTAAATTGTAATATTAAGGCCCCTATAATTTAAGGTATATTCCTTAATTAAGGGGTATTGGGTTCTCTGGATCCTTTGCACTGCAGGGTGGGCCCGGCTCTTTCCTGATCATCGCAGCAGTGGCCAGGGCCTTGGTGCACGGGTTTAGGTTTAGGGTTTAGGGTGTTTAGCGTGTTTAGGGTGTTTAGGGATTTTAGGGTTTTTAGGGTTTTTAGGGTTTTTAGGGTTTTCAGGGTTTTCAGGGTTTTTAGGTTTTAGGGTTTAGGGTTTAGGCAGCAATGCGCAGGTTTAGGGTTTACGTCTTACGGGTTCCTGTTTCAAGTGCTGTAGTCTGGGTATGGCAGAAGCACCGCTGCGACCACTATAGCTGCAACTCCTCCTACTGCTTCTGCTACTGCTACTGCTGTTCCCTCCTACACTCAAAAGCTGTTCCCTCCTATACTCAAAAACTCTGAATCCTAACCCAGAAGCTCTCAAGCCGCGACCACTAAAGCTTCGTATCTCAGAGGCGCAAGCGTTGCAACAGCTGGTGCTGAACAGCCGGCTCGATTAAGGGCTAATAGAGTTCTGGATGCCCCTGGATTTTCTGAAAGTTGGCTTTCTCCGTGTCCGATATGTTTATCCTTGTCCTGCACAGCGAGCTTGAAAGTTTGAGGGTCAGGGCTTCAGAGAACATACTACCTCGTTTGCGAAATCTTTCATTCAAGGAAGCTCTGAACCATAAACTCCGGCACGCCCACACCCCAAACGCCGGGAAGCCCAAAGCCACATGGTCTTGGCTTGCTTAAATGCTTGGGGTACTTTAGCTTCAGGGTTTTGGCTCGTGGGGCTCACAGGAACTAGGTGTGCAGTATGGTGTTTTCGGGGTATGGGGGTGCTTCCCCAACTGTCAGCTACAACGATTTATCTCAGTCCATGTTGCGGCTGCGGTTAGGCTCAGGATCCAAAGAGGACAACCTTAGGGGTCTACTGTATTCCATAATCTATGCAAAACGGTGTTTTCCTGAGTTGTCGGTACTGTGCAACAACAAGCCAGGATCGTGCTGCAAGTGGTCGTTGCAGCATCGGCGCAGCTGAGAAGTGAGGTCTTTCGTTCCCAGCAGAAGAAGCTGCTTTCGGTGCAGGGCTTCCATTGCGATGGTTTGCGAAGCCGGTTTCTTTGGTGTGTGTGGTGGGTCGGGCGCTGTCGATTCCAACAGAGACTAAGTTGTTGAGCTAAATTCGGTCATATTTCCGCGAGCACACAGGAGACAACATGGGATTAAGACGACGTGGGAATTCATGAGCTAGTGGAGGTCGATCTCGATGCTAAAAACTACCGGTTTCCACAGGCCGAGCCATGGATTGCCAACCCCCGCCCACTGCAACTCCCCGACCGTGTATGACTGCTTGCACCAAATATACAGCTATCACCATAAAATAGTTTATGGTTTAGTTGACCTGAATGTAGTATATGATATAATAAAATGCGTCAAAATATAGTACTAACATCGGAAAAAACTCAGCCCGGGAGGTCTCGGGCATTTTCGATGCCAATTGCGGCTACCTGGTCAGTGCATCGCTCAGACTGAGGGTTTTAGGGTTTTAGGGTATAAAGCAAGTCATGAGTGGGGTGTATACTTGTGCAATGCTGTACAGTAGGAGTACGAATTACTAATTCCTGGTAATTCGGCCGTGGCGTTTCAGCACTTGAAAACGAGCTGCAGATATCATAGTCTGATAGTGAACTAGACGTCGGAGCTTAAATTAGTTGTCTTCAGGGTCGAAGTATCGCTTCGCCTCAGTCCTGCTGCTGTACACCTCGTGCTCAGGGCCAATGAGCGGTCTATTGGGGCCCGGGAGTTGTGCCCAAAACTCGGAAGAGCGGAAGCCGGAGCCCGCTAGCGGTATGTTCAATGCGGAGCACCTTGGGCCTGCAGTGTCCATGTTATGTTCGAGGGCATCGAGAGCACTGGAGTCAAGCTAGACAGGAAACCCCAAAAGGCTCGAAGTGTCTTCGGTTGGGTTCAAAGCTCTTAGGGCTTTGCGGTTGCGGATTTCGGCCTCCAATCCTTCTACTCGGAGCCCGACACGTTGAACCTCAAGCTTGCACCGCAAACCAACAAACCTCATATACTTGAAGCCCGCAGGCCAAAATCTTGAATTTTGAGATGAGACAGCACATCTTAATCCCCCCAAGCGTGGACTTTGCGAACCACCCACTTTGGCCAAGGCTCGACGGACCTTACGGCGGAGTGGGAAGCTAAGCAGGTTTCAGGGCCTACGCCCCCTAGGATTTTACTGTTTGGGGTTCAGGGCTTGGGATGTGTGGTTTGCGGTTGATGTGATAATGTGGGGCCTTAATAATTGAAATAGGGTTTGGGGTCTATTATAAGATAAATTATAGTAATTATAGTAAGGAACCCCCAAAAACCCCATTCTAATTATTAAGGCCCCTATATTAATTGTGGGTGTAGGGTTCAGGCTGCCGTGTTTGGGCTTGAAGGGCTTGTTAGGCGTTCGCTTCTGCAGCCTTCTAAGTAATATAGGGGCCTTAATAACCACCTATACTCTTTTGTTTTTTTGGGGGGGTCTTTATTATAATTATAGTA